TCGCCCGGCCTGGCGCGCGGGTCCTGCGGAAAGTCCGGGGTCCGGGGCCACCCCCGCCCCCGCGCCGCTGCCCGGTACCGGCCAGGGAGTCGCTCTCCACCTTTGCAAACTGCCCTCGGCTTGAGCGTCGCCCTCCCTCGCGTGGCTTCTTTGACTTGCAAGTTGGGGACGGTGGGCAGGAGGCCTCAGGGGAGGAGTAGAGCTGATACTTTTATTCTTGGAAGCTTGGGGCTGGGGCGGGGAGCCAGTCCCGGCCTCTCCGGTTGGGTGTGCAGGTCCCGGGCCGTGGGGAGAGCCCCTCTGTCACGGCCGGGGCACGTTTTGTGTGAGTGGTGAGGGGCTGTGATGTCACGGGGGAGGGCGCGGGCTCTGGGTGGACCCCTGCAGCACCTCTGCCATTGTGGCTCAGGAGCTCGGGCCAAGCTCAGGCAGCCATGGCCTGGGGCTGGGGTGGGGAGTGGCAGCCTGCCGCCAGGCTGGGCAGGCGCCGTGCCAGGGCCTGGGTGTCACTGATGCCCGCAGCTCTTGTTAGAAGGGGGCAGCCTGGAGCTGGGGGGGAGGCGCACCCCGGGCTGGCCTCATAAGCAGCGGGACACACAGGCTCTCCCTCTGCTGTCTGCCGTACCAGGGAGGCTGGGCCGCTCACCGTGCAGGTCTAAGGTCCTGGGAAGGGGGGGTCCTCGGGTGCAGCTTCATGGGGAAGGTGACCAGGGTGCCCTTGGGAGCGGCAGGTCGCAGACAGGTGGGGAGGGCCTCCTGTCTTCCAGTTGGGGGGACTCCCCAAAGCCCAGGGGTGTGGGAGCACAGCCTGCAGGTCTGATGAAGGAGCCCCAGGCAGGATTCCCTGCGAGAAGTGAGGGGCAGAAGTGTTTTCAGAGGGCAGCAGTGGGCTCGGAGGCTGCTCGCTGGCTACAACCCAGACAGCCGTGAAGGCTGCTGTGATGGTGGAGGAGGGCCGGGTTGCGAGCCCCAGGGCCCCTCCCTCGCCTTCAGGCCGGCGGCGTTGGTGCTGCACCCCGAGCTTGCTCATCCCCCCAAAACACTTCTCGTTCTTCCTCCGCTTCTCTGGGCAGAGGGGAGCCTCTGCTGGACCCGCCTGCCCCGGCCGCCGTCACTCCGCGCTCCGTTTCCTAAGAACCTTGTCGTGGACGAGTTCGCTTTGCGGCTGAGTCGGTGGGAGGCTGGGATGACCCCTTCCGGCCGTCTCAGAGCGCTGGGTGTGCTTTTAGCCGGGAGCTAGGAGACACTTGGCCAGGAGGGTGTGGGGGACCCTCTGCTGGCGGTGGGGGCAGCTGGGGGCAGGGTGGCTCAAGGCCTCTGTCCTGGCAGGAGGCGCCCTGCCGCACACAGGTGCTTGGCCTCCTGGGCTCCCTGTGCCCTCTGTGGGCTGCTGGCCACCGCTCGGTCCCTGCTGTTGCTGTGCGGCGACTGGCCAGTGCCTGGAACTCACTCCGGTCTCCCCGACGAGCCCTGGGCACCGTCTGCCCAGGAGCAAAGCCCGCGAGCTCAGCACCTTGGGACCCCGAGCTGGCACAGCCTGAGCCCCGCCCCATGGGCTGCCCACAGCCGGGACTTCCCCGGGCGCCTGAGCCTTGCCGCGGTCAGCGTTCGAGAAGGGAGAGAGTATATATGAGGAGCAGAGTGCCGGTGGCGGCCAAGCAGGTGGACAGTGAGTGTCAGGAGGGGAGGGAGTGGCCGGCCGCATGCAGTGGCGGAGGAGGGTCTCATGGATCGCCAGGGACAGTGACTTGCTGGGGGGAGCCCAGGGCTCAGCGTCCAGTTGTAGTCACGGCTGAGGTCCATCTCCGCGAAAGGACACAAGCAAGGTCAGCAAAGGGGGAACCAAAGAGAAGCGTCCAGAGCCCTCCCGGGCGGAATCGCAGGGGATGCGCCTCATCCTCCCCGGGACTTCGCAAGCACCTGCCAGTGGTGGCTCCCGCGGACACCACACC